CCGGCTAAAGCAAACACCGGAATAATTATTTTAACAATATTTTTAAAATTTACAGTACTAATTACAACGACTCAGAACGTTCCATCCTATTAATTCAGTTGAAAAAAAAATTGTTATAACTCACTATCTGAAAATATCAGAATAATTATTTTAACGATACTTTTAAAAATTTATAACACTAATTACGACGACCCAGAACGTCTATTAAACTAGTTGAGAAAAAATTGTTATAACCCATTACAGAAAATATCGAAATAATTATTTTAATAATATTTTTAAAAATTTACAGCACTAACTATAGCGACCCAGAACGTCTATTAAATAAACCGGTTGAAAAAAAATTATTATGATCCATTTCAGAAGATACCGGAATAATTATTTTAACAATATTTTTAAAAATTTACAACATTAACTATAACGATTCAGAATGTCAAGTTGAGAAAAAATTGCTATGACCCATTATAAAAAATACCGAAATAATTATTGTAACATTATTTTTAAAAATTTACAACACTAACTATAACGATTCAGAACACTCGTTAACCCAATTAAAAAAAAATTGCTATGACCCATTACAGAAAATACTCGGAATAATTATTTTAATAATATTTTTAAAATTTACATTGGTAATTACGATGATCCAGAACGTCTATTAACCCAGATGAGAAAAAATCGGATTGACCCATTCCACACACTTCGATCTTGATTAATTTCTAGCAGAATTAAACTTTAATAATTTAATTAATTAATCAACTAAGTAAACATTATCAAATCAATCAACAAATTAACATTACCTGAGATGAAAAGGAAGAGAAGAAAGAAAATGCAAGAAAGCTTTGCCATGAGTAGTGATGACCTACAAAACTCAAATAATAATGGTGAAAAATAATTTTGATAATGAATAAATTAATATGCACTGGTTATGTGGGAGGTTATTGGCTATATTTATAGAATGACAAAAATATTATTGATAATGGGAATATATATATATATATATATATATATCTATTTTTTGAAGAACATTCATGGGTATATTCCTCACATCTCATTTATTTTATACAGATATTTTACCAAAATTAAGGTATAATTATTTTATTTATATTTTTATTAGAAATTTCTTTATCTCTGTGTAATTTTACTTATATAAAAATTTTATATTTATACTATTTTCGATATAATTATAAAAATTACATTTTGTGCATTGCATAATTTAGTAAATTTTCAAATTTGTTTTCATTAATTACTATATGTATTAGCTTTTGTTAGTTGGTGCATGCATGATATAAATACATGTAATATTAATTAATTAATTACTTTTTTTTGTTTTTGTAAAATAATTATTTTTATTATATTAAAAACTAATAAAATTTAAAAATTATTTACACACTAAATATAACGTAATATCTAATATAAAAATTTATAAAATTAAAAATAGTCATTCATTAAGTTTATTACTAAGTCAAGACATATAATAATGTGGAAGTGCTATTATAACGATGTTATGTATATATATAATGTTAATTAGAGGAAAAGTTGGCACAAAGATATATAAAATGTGTGTGTGTATATATATATATATACATATATTTAATTTTGTAGACATCTTTGACTGTTAATAATATCATATTTCAAATTAAATTAATCAAATTTTATTTTGGATAAAGATTAGAATAATTAGATTATATTTCAATATTTTAAAAACATATATGTATATATAGATGAAGAAGCTAAGTTTTGCACGAATTTTACTAAAATTTAAACCCGACCCAGATAAAGAACAAACTCCAACAGTCTTACAATCTATATATGTTTATATACATATATATATATATATGTATATACACATAAAGCTTTGAAATCAATTTGGGTGACAGAAAAAACATACAGTCTCACAATCTCTCTGAGTTCTGTCAAGTTCCAACAAAATAAGTTGGCTAAATTTGGCTTGCCAAACTACTTTTATAAGTCAATTACAATCAAATAAGTTTTTGGTCAACCCTGCAAATCAACATATATATATGTGTATATATATATATATATATATGTATTTGGTAATATAAGTGAGAACAGACTACGTGAAAGTGCTGTTATATATATGGTGTGCTAAAAAGCTGGCACGAGGATGTATACATATACATAAAGTATTATATTTAATTTATTCACATATTTGACCAATATTATTATACTTAATTCATATATAATTAAATCAAATCTTTAGTCCAACATGCAATGTATTAGTTGACTTGATTAGCTTTCCTACCACCTAAACTTTGGGATTTGTTTGGTAATACTAATTTTTTTTTCATTAAGTAAAACTTGTTCTTGATTTTGCACTTGTCAATATTGAATTCAACGTGACTGGCTCCTCCAATTTGCATATACATACATGTATGTAAGTATATAATTTATTGAACTTCTTGGAAGCCCACTTGGGTCGGGTTAACTGCAATCTGGTTTTTACACGCCCAATTCATTTGACCGACCCACTAAACATTTCCAAAGAGATATTATATTGTATCCATAGAGACCAAACTTTGTCTATAAAAATCCCATGCAACTCTCCATTCTTCTCCATCCCAAAACACAAACGCAGTCTTCTGCATTCCCTTCTTCTTCTTCTACGGAGATTTAGTTTTCAGACTCCTCTCTTTTACTCTCAAATTACCCAGAAGCCAAAAAAGATAAAATTAAAACGCCCAGAAGCCGAAAAGTAAAATAAACATGCAATCAATCAGGTTCTCCGTTGTGCTGTTTACATTGTTCGTGGCTGTTGCTGCTACTAGTACTTTTAGTGTGCAGTTACCAAAAGTAGACTCATTCAATAATATCAATGATTCTAATCTTGATTCTCTAGATGATCAAGAACCAGCATTTTTTGAGAAGACAACCCGAATTTTAGCTCGAAGAAACCGGCCTGCCATCATGACATGCAACAATTATCCAAAGATCTGTCGTCTCAAGGGCAGTTCAGGAAGCAATTGCTGCAAGAAGAGGTGTGTAAATGTGTTAACTGATAAGTTAAACTGTGGAAAATGTGGCAAGAAGTGTAAGTTCTCGGAGATTTGCTGCAAAGGCAAGTGCGTGAATCCAATGTTTCACAGGAAAAACTGCGGAGGTTGTTCGAACAAGTGCAAGAAAGGGAGCTCTTGTCTCTATGGGATGTGTAGCTATGCTAATTAGTTCATATGTATATATATATATATATATATACATACACACACACAAACCAACAAATACACAAAGAAAACAGGGTAGATTCAGTTACATTACAAAAACATTCTTCTCTACAAAAAAGTAGGGTTATATATTTCCAGTCATTTGTAAACTTTTAAATGGTTAGACAATCGTCATTCATCTCCAATTTGAAGAGTTCCATTGAATGCTTTATTGTTATTCAATTCTGTAATCTGAATATTTTTGCAATAAATATTAATTATCTTTTTAAAAAAATTATCCAGTGGTTGTTTTTCTTTGAAATTATTTCAGCTCATCACTTTCGAAAACATGTATATATATACATGGGAATCGAATTAATGTATATATATACACACGTACGCAAACCACCATGGATATTATTAGAGTTATGCATTTATTTAACGATGAGTTAATATATATACATTAATTATAATATAATGAGTTAAGAATAGCTTAACCCGTAATATTTAATTTAAACGAATTTAGAGTTTACCACATCAGTATATCGATGAGATTGCAGTCATGAAATTAGATATTATTATATTGAATTTTGATAAAAAATATTTTATAATTATTAATATCTGATATAATTATTTTTATTATTAATAAAAATACTATAATATTGTTTATTATTATTTTATCTGAAAGTTATAATCATAGCCTGTTTTTTTTTTTTTTTCAACCTCGGAGATCATCATGATATATATATATATATATATATGTGTGTGTGTGTGTGTGTGTGTATACACACTGTTTCTTTTTTCAGTGGAACAGCATCATATTTGCATGTATACGGTCATGCAAAATTAAGATACAAAAGGAGGTGGATATTAGTTAGCGATACAAATAGAGGAATATCAACCGAAGAGAATTGGTAATTCTATATATATATATATATATCGAAGAGAATTGGTAATTCTATATATATATATATATATATATATATAGAATTCTATATCAATTGTTAATTCTTTTCATAATGTAATTATATCTAACTAGTTCGTGTTATACACATATAACTTTTAAAATTATGTGTACACTGCAGACTTTATAGTTAAATAAAAATTAAATTTTATTTTATATTCAAAAAATATATATATAAATATATATAATTAAGTTAATACATTTTTTATTTTTATTTCAAAAAATAAGCAAATGTGTTTTTTCTATACATATTTATAAATATATATATACATAGATTAATTATCTCCAAGAGGGAAATAGATTCATTTTATACATACTTACCATCATAATATCTGTGTGTGTATATATATGTGTATATATTTTATATATGTATTTGTTACGTACGTACCTCAATTTCCTTGTTAATATTTTCTTGGAAAGCCTAATCTTCCACGCCCTTGAAATTTGACCAACCCACTAGCCAGCAACATACTAATGTCTTTTAAACGAACTCGTTTCTCCAACACTTTATTCTTCCTTCTCTATAAAAACCCATGCAACTTACCATTTCTTCTCCATCCCAAAACATCTCTTCCCTCTACGAATGCAATTCTCCCCCATCTCTCATAAACCTCTTTTCACAAACCTATATACATATATATATATACACTAGGTTGCTCGCAAGTATACACACATACCCGAAATTCTAAACCTGAAAACATGAAATTCATCAAGATCTTCCTTGTGTTTTCCGTATTCGTGGCTCTAACCGTTACTAAAACTCTTTCTAACACCTTATTGAAACAAAATCCATTCGATAGTGATGAAAATGACGACAATACTGCCTTAAATGAAGCCTACGATTATATTCCTGTCAAAAATGATGGTAAAGAACCAACCTCTCTCCAAGGAGCAAGACGAATTCTAGTACAAAAATATCGGCCTTCGGTGATGACATGTGACAAGTACCCCAGAGTTTGTCGTACCAAAGGTAGCTCGGGACCTGATTGTTGCAAGAAGAAGTGTGTGAACGTGACAATTGACAAGAACAACTGTGGAAAATGTGGAAAGAAGTGTAAGTATTCAGAAATTTGTTGTAAAGGAAAGTGTGCGAACCCGATGATCGACAGAAAAAATTGTGGAGGTTGCTCCAACAAGTGCAACAAAAAGAGCTCGTGCCTTTACGGGATGTGTAGCTATGCTAATTAAATCCAATTAATGTTAGGTCAAAAACAAGTATAGTTAAAATTAGATTTTTTATATAATTATTTTTCAGATAGTGAATAATAATCTAGAAAAAAATACATTCTTATTATATGAAATTTCCTATATGTGTTTATTTATTGTTTGAATTGTACAACATAATCGCTAGATGTGTGCAAGTCCGGGGCATCTATGTACTATTATAGTTTTCTAAGCAATAAAGATTGGATTTAATTCGTCAACTATGATTTGAGAACTAATCGTTGTATTATTGAGTTAAATTGATTTCTGTTTGAAAATTTAAATTGATATAAAAGTTATAAATTTATTATTTATGCTTTAATAGCCATTATAAGAAATTAATTATTAAAAAAATATAACCATGAAGAATCGAAAAAAGTCAACCCTTTTTTAAAAATATATTAATATGGTGAGTAAATATAATTCAATTATACTTCTTAGATAATTGGTGGTTAAAGTTGTATTGAATATATACGTTTTTTCATCTACAAAAAGTTACGAATTCGGATAAACTGTACTTTCGTATGTAATCTCAGTTGGAAGCTACTTCTATTAAATTTTGTTTAGTGTATATGTATCATCTAATTAATAAATATACGAATTCATTCAACACTAGGGTTTTTATCGCATGTCTTGAAGGATCTTTTGCTTTGTTGTGCAAGAAATCGCCTTTTTCCTCGAAAGGAAGTAGGCAGGTTTTCCCGACTCTCCATCTTCTTCAAATAACGATCACCTTTATGGTAATCTTGATTAGTAATTTTATAGTTGTTGAGGTATGATTCGTCTCTAAGAAAAGATTGTGACGTGGAGAGTTTGACAATTGTAATTGGTATAAGTAAAGGCAATACGAGAAAAATATTCGACTGACTCCCTTGGAGAGACGACTAGTGAATTGGGTAGGT